GGCTATGTCTTGGGCTACTCAAATATTTTACGTTTTTGATACTAAATTAACTTCTGAAGTATAATTTTTTATTGTTTTTATATTTTTCAATATATTTGTTTTGTTCATACAAAATAAAAAAATAATTTTTAACAATACAATAGTCTTCGTTGGGCTTAACATCGACAAAAATTCAATGTGAAGTGACACGCAACAGAGAAAAATGTCAAGATGGGATAAATTAATATATTTTTTCGTACATAATTGGTTATCCGAAACATCAATCTTCTGGACAACCCCAGTCCCCAATTGATTCGGATAATCGACGCTCTACTGTATTGGTATTTAATGGCTACTTTTAAGTTAGTGGCATCTTGGAAAAAGGATTATATTCTTTGTTAACATTGATGCTATATGGAATATGGAATTGATGCTATGATCAAGTGTTATAAGAGAGAACGATAACTTATTTGATCCTAGTGTTTTAGAGATAAAAATTAGACAATTTTTTCTTTTTTTCTTTGAATGACATGGCAAGTTTTATGAAATGTCAGGTTATCAGGAGTTGAGTTTCCCAGACTCTACTGTAGTTCCAAAAATGTAAAACTAATTAAGATACTTTTTTCAATTTTTACCCCATCATCATCTGTTGCAAGGCAATAAACCCAGCCTCAAAAAAAAAAACTGACAAGACTTCAAATAAACCAGGTATATAAACATTTAAAAAATAAACTCCCAGGATTTAATCAAGGAAATACAATACGTAATATCATACATAACTCAATGTCCTTGAAATTATTTTTATTTAATCATTTCACTATTTTAAAATTTCATATTCTTATAGTATTAAAGTATGGGATGTTGAAACTTGGACATGCATTGCTACTTATAGACCAGGTTAATATTCTATATATACTTTTTTGAGTACTTATTCTGTTAATATTACTGATGTGGTTTTGTTTTAGAAATTTAAAAACTTTATCTTTTTATAGCTCATGGAAACAAAATTTCCCGAGTTTCTTGCAGTAATGTGGAATCTCGAGTGTTTATATCATGTGGACAAGTAAATTTAATTTTATTAAATTTAGTGTTGAATTTAGTTAATATAAGGTTGAAACTATTATTTTTAAGTCTTATTTTATAGCAATAAATAAAACTAAAACCAGAAAAGGTGCAGTAAATAAAACCAAACTGAAAAAAGATGAAATTAATCATTTAAAGAGAAATTTCCCAAATTTTCTACAAAAATTTTTGGATTTCTAGTTAGAGCATTAATGCAAATTTTAGAAGATAAATCAATACTCAAATAGATGTGTCACTCACTTTTTATGAAATTATTATGAAAAATTAATTTCAAAATTTTAATTTTGACATTAATTTTAACTATTATATTAAAATATTACAAATAAAGAAATTGTTTTTTACAATTATAATTTCNCCAGCAGGTTCTAAATTATTTATTAATTAAATTATTAAAATTATAATTATTAATTTAGATAAGAGATGGTGCCTAATGCTTACCTCTAGTACCAAATTTATTTGGATAAATTTTTTGATTATAGCCTTATAATAGCCCGAATATTTAGGCAATTGTTGGATTATTAGGTTAACTCATCAGGCTTTGAGATGTGTATTATAAAATACTAGCTGTACCCAGCTATGTGTTGCTGTAGCTCAAAATGTATCTATTATAGATGTATAACACTCCCCACGGAGGGAATTTCAAAAAATCCCTTCTTAGTGTACATTCTCTTGACATACCTTATTAAAACGGAATCAAAAACACAAAAAACCGCATCTAAAATAGTATAATAGAAGCTGAGTTCTTCACGGTAAGCTTTAATTTTGTCTCTCTCCCCCGTGGGGGGAATTTCAACATCTATATAATATACAAGTTTGGATACATAGTATAGATTTCAGGTAAAATGACATTAGCAGCATTCATAAGTTCAATTTTAGAAACAGCCATTTTATTGTAAGCTAATTGGTCAGAATGTTTAACAAAAGTGAGAATAATGATGATGTCATTCTCATTTAACTTGCTTGACTTTGTGAACATACCCTCTGAAAAGAATTTCCATTTATGGATTGTGTGCCATTTATTAGGAAAAAGTTTTTAGTCTTATATTTCTTTGAAGATGTTGCTGAAATATCTCCCAATTATTTATATCTTGAATTATTTAAAAGTATATTGAAATTATATCTTAATGAATTACTGCTTATTCAGTTTCCCACTATTTTTAACAGAATGTTATGCCATTTTTTTAATGTATCATTCAATGAGTAATTGAATGACTAACTCATTTGTAAAAGAGAGAAGCCTAGTAGAGTAGCTACAAGATCTCCTTATTTTGAACTATTTTCTGTGGGAAATGTTTTATATCTAAAAGTGAATTATTAATGAATTATATAAATTGAAAGTATGTAGACTGAAATCAATACTGCATTCACTTTCTAATATCACTTAAATACTCCAATTATCAAAATTCAACAGTTTCAATTATACTAAATTCTTTTGTATATATTATTCACCCAATTGTTGGTTTTTTTAAGATTAATGGCAAATGCATTGAGTTGTTTTTTGCGTGTTGCCTTTTTTTTATTTTAGAGCACTGTTTAGATATGTTTTCTTATTTAGAAATTAATTTATTAGTGTTTTATTAACAAGAAAAATTTGCATCTTTCTATAAACAGTTAAAACATTGTTTTTAGTATGTTATGTCATTTGATTTTTTTCCTTAAATACAGTAAATGCTTGCTTACATTGTTAATTTTATGTTCAATTGTTTGGTTTGTTTCTTATCATACTGTTTATTGTTATATTATATTTAAGTACTTTGCATGAATAATTTGTTATTAACTAAATTTAATTTTGTAGGTTCTGTAGAATTAATTAGTTTGAAATCTGATCCAGTCATTCTCAGTAATGAGTTTTATTCATGTGAGCATGATCATGTTATTAGTTCTATAAGTGTGTCTTCTAATGACTTGTTCTGCATAAGTTCCAGTTTTGATGGATGGTAAGTATAATTTTTTCTGATTAAGAAAATTATTTAAAATATTTGGGTTTAGATTCAAATAAAAATATTATTAAAAAATTTATGATAAATTTCATTTTACATTTATTTTCATATTTTTTAATAAATTTATTTCTGATATTTCTTTATTTTAGTGTGAAAACTTTAAATATATTCAATGCAGGTTAAAAAAATGTATTTTTGAGAATTTAATACCTAAAATAAAATGCAAGATAGTATAATAGTATTTATATAAATTTAAATATTTTGTGTAATGCATGTGGTATGACACTTATATAGGAGAGAACAATAGGTACAATAAGCATCCTAGCTATCCTCCATAGTTGCCTTCTTTCCTGGGCAAGTTCTGTGTAAAGCATGTTTTGTATATTGTGAGTGTTTGGAATGGAAATGGATATGTCTATAATGAATGTGATTTTATTGTGTTTATCAATGAGTGTGATGTCTTGTCTTTTGTGATAAATTGTTTTATCTGATTATCACTTTGTCATAGTACATTTTGTGCATGTTGTTTTTCAATACTGTCTGTGGATTCGTAGTATAGTTTGTGGATGTCTAATAATTTGTGTTTGTTTGCAAGCAATTGGTATATTATATTTGCTACTTGATTATTTCTATGTAAATAATTGTCTATGCCAGGAGCTTGCAAACATGTATGGTTTCTGGCATGATGTGACATTTTTGCATATGTCATTTGTGAGTGTTGTATCTTTGAGTGACCTGACCCTGTATGGCAATCATAAGCCCTTCCATCTCCCCAAAGAGACATTCTTGAGCTAGCCAACTGTTTGACACAGTTTTGTCAACAAAATCCTGGAACAGGTCATAGGGATGACTGCCATGGAGTGCCTTTTGAATTCACAATTGCTTAATGGTGTGAGTGCAAGTTTAATGGTGTGTTATTTGAGTCTGCTAGAGTTACTGCTTTAAGTAACTGTGATATTTCTTGTTTTTTGCAGAAAAACTCTCACAGTGTCTGTATTTGTTTGTAGTGAAGGTTAACTATGTCAATCAGGCCACATCCACCATCTGTACATGGAAGGGTTAATCTTTTTATGACAGATTTAGGATGATGTTTATGCTTAGTAAATGTTGTTCTTGTTTTCCTTTGGAGTTGCTCAAGATCTGAGTTCATTGTATAACTCCAAAAGAATAAGTGAATACTGGGATGACGCATGCTTTGCATTTAACTATGTTCTGAGAATAGCATTTAACCTACCTTGGCATTCTTTAATTAATCTTTGCTTTATTTGTGTATGTTCTGTTAGTTTAGCTTGTTGGAATCCTAAATACTTGTAGAACTTGCCCTCTTCCATGGATTCAATAATGTCCCCATTTCCAAGTGCAAAATCATCTTTCTTCAGGATTCCTTTTTCTATGTGAAGTGTTTTGCATTTGTCTAAGCCAAACTCCATTTGTATGTCCTTGGTGTATGAATGTGTGATTTGTTGGAGTTGATGAAGTTGTTTTTGTGTGGATGCATAAAGTTTTATGTCATCCATGCACGGTACATGAGATGAGACAATGTAAACTGTGTTGGTTTTTCATGTTTGATATTGTAACCATATTATGTGTTGTTTAATATGTTAGATAATGAGTTCAGGGATAAGCAGAACCAGAGAGAATTCAACGAATCTCCTTGAAAAATTCCTTGCCTAATGAATATTTGGTTTGTTTGTATGGAATTGTTACTAACCTTGAGATGCAGTGTTGTTCTCCAGTGCTGCATAGTGTTTTGGAAGAATGCAATGAGTGATGGATGTATTTTGTACATGTGTAGAATATGTAGCAACCAACTGTGTGTTTTTGTGTAGTCTATATATACAATGACCATATTTTTTGGGAGAAAATAAAGGACATATCGAAGAAAGTCAAAAAATACCTTATAAAATTCATAAGTTTATAACATTTATTACGAAAATAGTAGCATACAACAATGCATACATTAAAATTTTAAACAATCTGAATTATTACACATACACACATTGTAAAAATTTAAATAACATTAATTTTGATACTTTTCAGTAGAATTAATTTTTTTTTATAGTGCCGTCTCATGCTTTAAAGTCATAAAATTCCATACAGTTCATTTGAAAGTTGTATTTGATGGAAATACATGCTTCTAATGTGCTTACTTTTAAATCAGATTTTTCACTTGTCCACCTATTATTCACCAATGAAAATATTCGTTCAACGGGGGCATTAGATCCAGGGAGACAAAGAAAATTCTACAATTTTACAAATGTTTTTGAAAACAATTTCTTTTGCTGTAAAATGTTCAAAAATCTCAATCCACCTTTGATGGCAGGGCTGGTTATTCTGTCACCATTTTTCGATCTTTTCGTTTGTGACATATTTTTTTACACATGAAACTTCATCAAATAATTCACCGTCGAGTATATTTATGGACCAATGATTCGAAATAAAGATATAGCTTTTCTCTACTTTCGCCCACAAAGGGATTTCGCATAATGTGATCCATTCAAACACCTCTATTTCAATAAAAAGACATGTCCCAATTATTTAGATAATCTATGCACGTTTGATAAAATGTGTACACAGCATCATTGCATTTTTTGGCTTGTATATTTTTTGGTTTTTCTAATGCTAAAACCACTTTTCTAATAACAATAGGAAGAAACCCCTGGTACTGTCAATGGGCCATTTGGTTGGCAACACACTGCACTACTGCGCTCTATGTAGCAATTCAACACTGGTCGTGATGGCATATACAAAACTAACTTGTTCAATATATTATTAAAAAAAATTTTTAAACTTTGCATCAACTTTACAAAATAAAGGATAAAATGCTTATTTTAGAAAATAAATAAAGTTAAAGGACAGAGCAGTGAAATAAAGGACTGTCCTCTTAAATAAAGGACGTATGGTCACTGTATCTATATATGACGTGTATGTTTGTGTGATTGCCATAGAATGACTGAATCTATGAGTAATGCTGGTTCTTCACTTAGCGCAATCGCGTTGCTGTCACACAATGATTCATAGAGCAATGCAGTCGTTTCTCGATATGCCTACACACTTCACACAAAATGGAAGGCAATTTGCAATGAATTATGGGAAAATGGTGGCAAAACTTTCAACTTAAAGTTTTATATGCTTTTCAATTTAATTTTTAAAATGTAATATTTTCTATTTGCACCTTTTCTAAATTTCCACGCCATGCTGTAAGTAGTGCTAAGGATGATGGATAAAACTATGGTGTCACATACACTTGAAATTATGGATACTGCATGCCAATTGGCTTTGACAGAATTGCCATGAAAAAATATACACTGTCTGCAGTGACAAAGGTGATTGAATCACCTGAAAATCGCACTAAGTGGAGAGCCAGCATAACTGTTCTTTGCATCACCTGTGATTTCTACAGTAACCTTTTTGTTGTTCTGTAGGAATGTTGTGTATGTCAACATTCTGTATATTTTGTTTGCAATACAGGATGTCAATAATTTATAGTGTTAAAAGACATGTCATTGGTCTGTGGTATTGTTGTTTTTAAGTTTTATGTAAGTGATACTCTGAGTAAGAAATTTTGGCATGTCTTATGGATTGATGATGATATGTGTTAGGTATGTGGCTAGTTCCTGGTACAGTCATTTAAACTCTTTGTACCAGAAATTGTGAATCTTGTCTACATTGGGTGTCTTCCAGTTGTGTGTTCTGTTAACGCGTATTGGATGTGTACATTTGTGCACAGGGTGTAGTTGGTATGTTATGCAAATATTTGTTCTCCTCGATCCAGCTGCATCAGCATTGGGTATACAGCACTGGATCAAAGAAAAGACCAATAATTTGTGCATTCTTCTGTTGTGTGCCACTGTGCTGTATATATCAATGGTTGTTTTGGTACTAATTTGTCTGTAAAAAGGTTTTTCATTGTAAATAATTTATTTTGTTGTTTTTGTAGCAAACATATTTTGTATTGTTTGAGTTTGTGCTTTGGCTGCAAGTTTTTGTTTTAATGTATCAATGTATTCTGTAATGTGTGTTGTGGTGTTCATGCTTTGTGTGTTTTGATTTTTTTGAAAATGTTTTTTGAGTTGTTTCTTTAATTTGGGTGTTATGTTAATTTTAATGTATTGTGTCAGCCTGCCTAATTTCTGTCAAATGTCACTTATTTGTGTTTCTATTCTTCTCTGCCAAGCTTGTGATAGAATTGTGTTTTGTGTGCAACTTCTGTGAATGAATGCCCAAGCATAAACTAATGTATGAAGTCTAAGAGTAGAAATTAAGTGAATGTAGTGTGGTAGTAAGTGAGTGTTTATGTAATTTAGTGTTTTTCCTGCTACCTTAGACGTGTTGATTTTTGGTATTTATGGTCTTTGTGAGTGATCTGTACCTGTATATTTAGTGTGTGTTTCCTGAAATAAAAGTGAGAGTGAATTAACAAATTCTGTCTATGTTATCAATGATGGATGAGTAAATATCTGTAGTATCATTAGTGGTACAGGTTGTGTGTGCACTATTATCAGTGCTTGTTGCTGAATTATCCTGACAGGTTATGTGATCTTTATAAATGTTAAATGTTTGTCTGTTGATGTATTTGATCAGCAACCTGTTGTTTGATAAGTTTAGGTGTTGTTTGTGGGATAAGGTTGTTGTGTATAATTGTTCTTTTTTTGATCAACAGCCCTTTGTTCAGTGACTGAGGTAAGGATATTGTCTGTATGCTGTCATGTTTGTTTTAAGTCTTGTGATGGTGTAATAACTACAGATGATAAACTTGTTCATTTCCATTGTCTATTTCATCTGTTGGCATGGTTTTCTACCCTTTGTGGTCTGTGGTTGCATTGCCACAGAAACATCAAGGCTAGGTTGGTTCTGCACAACTGTCGAGGGCATTGAGTTCTTGGGCTAGTGTTGCTTCGCCATCTGTAGCCAAGGGAGACTGTGACTTATTTTTCAAATGTGAGCCTCTGCCTAACACCTTGTTAACCAAAGTGACGTCCGAGCCAGTATCATACTTAGATCTGGTTACTACAATGGTAATTATCTGTACAGACTGTTGATGTGGTCACTTTTAGTTTCATTTCTCCCCATAGACCTTACTGGCCTGGGTGTCCTTACTAGGAGCTTGTGCTCCAGCCAGCATTGCTTTATGGGTTAGTAAAATTACTGGGCTCTCTCATCATGACTGGCTGGTGACCATGGAAAAGTTATTATTATATTATTTTCAGTACTTAATGTACTGTAGGTGAATTCATCTTAGCTATTTTCTCTGTTTTACTTATTTTATAATTACATCTAAAATTAGTTGCTAAGGGAAATAAAGCAAAACAAAAGAAACAGGGATAACAAGGAAATGTTGGAGACAATGCCTTGTAAGTGACATATTTTCAAACACAATTTCAGTGTTTCAAGATAAATGAAAGTGTGAGTAATATGGTGATGATATTTTTTGTTTTGGAAATTTTTTCTGAGCATATACAGGAAATTACAGTAATTTTCAAATTGTTACAATTTTATTAAATTGTTTCTCTTAAAAATGTGGAATTTAAAAATGACAGATAACTTACACCATCTTTCAAATTTACTNTTACAGTAATTTTCAAATTGTTACAATTTTATTAAATTGTTTCTCTTAAAAATGTGGAAATTAAAAATGACATTATTAAAAAATCAGTAATAACAAATATTAAAAATCATAACTTTTTAAATTAAACTTATTCAGTTATTGTTTTTATTAGTTTATAAAATAAAGATTTATAAAATTTTTCACTTTTTATTTTGTTAAAAGTATTTATCACAGTTTAAAAAAAGATTACTTTAATAATAAATTCTCACAAATTGGTTATATTGATTATTTTCTAGAACTTACCTAAAGTCAATTTAAATATATAAATCATAATCCAATGAAATTGGCAAAACTTGGTAACAAAATGATAAATATATTATCCATAATTACTTCTTCATGTTACCAAAACTTCTGTATTTTAAAATTCCTCTTGAGTCATAATCAGGTTAACACTATAACACTTAGATATTGCTATATGTAAGTACAGTTTAATTAAGGAATAGACTTTTCAAGCAACTGTATTTTAGAACTAAAGAAGCATACTAACTAAAGAGAATTAATTAAAATTTTTGTTTTTTAATTTTGACAGTTATATTCTGACTTAATAAAATAGAAAAAATATTTATATAAAATAGGTAAATATTTATTACCAAATTAGTTACAAAAAATTTTTGGTAACCTAATGAAGTAGTTGTGGATAATACATTTACCTAATCAGTAATTTTACTATTTGTTTTTATATGTATAAATAATATACTGTATGTATATAGTTTGAAGTCCTTGAAATTATTTTTATTTAATCATTTCACTATTTTAAAATTTCATATTCTTATAGTATTAAAGTATGGGATGTTGAAACTTGGACATGCATTGCTACTTATAGACCAGGTTAATATTCTATATATACTTTTTTGAGTACTTATTCTGTTAATATTACTGATGTGGTTTTGTTTTAGAAATTTAAAAACTTTATCTTTTTATAGCTCATGGAAACAAAATTTCCCGAGTTTCTTGCAGTAATGTGGAATCTCGAGTGTTTATATCATGTGGACAAGTAAATTTAATTTTATTAAATTTAGTGTTGAATTTAGTTAATATAAGGTTGAAACTATTATTTTTAAGTCTTATTTTATAGCAATAAATAAAACTAAAACCAGAAAAGGTGCAGTAAATAAAACCAAACTGAAAAAAGATGAAATTAATCATTTAAAGAGAAATTTCCCAAATTTTCTACAAAAATTTTTGGATTTCTAGTTAGAGCATTAATGCAAATTTTAGAAGATAAATCAATACTCAAATAGATGTGTCACTCACTTTTTATGAAATTATTATGAAAAATTAATTTCAAAATTTTAATTTTGACATTAATTTTAACTATTATATTAAAATATTACAAATAAAGAAATTGTTTTTTACAATTATAATTTCAGTATATCATATTTCCTTGATTAAATCCCAGCATTCAAATAAATTCTGGTTTGAAAAGCATGGGAAACATATTGAAGTACTGCACTACATAAGATAATGTTGTGTAAAGTGACAGATAAAAAATTTAATATAATTCTACCTCTTCAAATTGTAGAGTTGAACTGTGCTTTCTATTTTAAGGTTCACAGGAATATTTATGGAAATAAAATTATAATTATCATCAAATATTGAGTGTGGGAAAGTTGCAATTGAGTTCATAAATCAAGAGCTTATTAACCAAAGGGTAATTCAGAAAACTCAAATTGGAGATAGTGAGTTTTAACAAGATGGTAGTGAAGGTCCTGATTCTGACATCATCATCAAAACGGACACAAATGAAAACAACAACTGAATTGGAAGATGCTGAATCAAGTTAACTGTGAAAACAGTAATTATTTCAAATGTTGTATTTGTAACCCATAAATACAGTCAATAAATGATTTTGATGCACTAGAGCAGGGGTGGCGAACCTATGGTACGTATGCCCAAAGTGGCACGTAAGGAGAAATCATCTGGCATGTAATGTATCATACGATTTCTGTCTTTTTCAATCATCTTTTCCGTTTATCACCTGATCATCCTTTTTTCAATCAGCTTTTTTACATTTATTCTAATTAAACCATATTCATTTAATTTGTTTAAATATCGTTATTTGTAGTCTGAAACTTTGGCACGCATAAACATCTTTAAAGCTAAGTATGCTTACAATATGGTATGTGAACACAAAAAGATTTGCCATCCCTGCACTAGAGTCCTGCAAACTCAGCTTAAGGAACTAAGATGATGAGTTTTACAGCATAGCAACAATGCTAGTTTAAGTAGTGGAACTTTTGTAAAAATATTATATGTGCAAATTCGGATATATATTAGCTACTGTACATTCAAGTAGTGGCTATAAGTTTTAATTTTAAAAATACAGTAAAGCGTCGATTATCCGAAAGAATTCCAGTTGGCAAATTTAAATTTTCGCCAGTGCTGTGGCACTGCAATCTTTGGCTATATCTTGGGATACTCAAATATTTTACGTTTTTGATACTAAATTAACTTCTGAAGTATAATTTTTTATTGTTTTTATATTTTTCAATATATTTGTTTTGTTCATACAAAATAAAAAAATAATTTTTAACAATACAATAGTCTTCGTTAGGCTTAACATCGACAAAAATTCAATGTGAAGTGACACGCAACAGAGAAAAATGTCAAGATGGGATAAATTAATATATTTTTTCGTACATAATTGGTTATCCGAAACATCAATCTTCTGGACAACCCCAGTCCCCAATTGATTCGGATAATCGACGCTCTACTGTATTGGTATTTAATGGCTACTTTTAAGTTAGTGGCATCTTGGAAAAAGGATTATATTCTTTGTTAACATTGATGCTATATGGAATATGGAATTGATGCTATGATCAAGTGTTATAAGAGAGAACGATAACTTATTTGATCCTAGTGTTTTAGAGATAAAAATTAGACAATTTTTTCTTTTTTTCTTTGAATGACATGGCAAGTTTTATGAAATGTCAGGTTATCAGGAGTTGAGTTTCCCAGACTCTACTGTAGTTCCAAAAATGTAAAACTAATTAAGATACTTTTTTCAATTTTTACCCCATCATCATCTGTTGCAAGGCAATAAACCCAGCCTCAAAAAAAAAAAACTGACAAGACTTCAAATAAACCAGGTATATAAACATTTAAAAAATAAACTCCCAGGATTTAATCAAGGAAATACAATATGTAATATCATACATAACTCAATACATTTGTAATCCAAATGATCTGGCACATCATTTGGTATAATTTCAGTTTACAGTATTTGAAAAATATTTTAATAAGAATTTATCTTTTAATTTAATTACAAAACTTAAAATCTTTTGTTTTTATTGCGGTTTATATGAATTAAGTTCTAAGTTTGCAGTTAACATTAACTACATGTTTGCCAAATATGTGATCAAAGATTTCTATCTTGTAAATTTTCACAACTTATTTTCCAAAGACTTTTTTCCCTCATTTCACTTTAAATTCCCACTACATTTAGAATAATACAAGGGATGATCAAAAACTAAGGTTACAAAGCCTGCAGTGAAAAGTGTACATTTTATTTCATACAACCAATACAGGCAACTGATTGGTACATTAGGTATTTTTTAACATAGTCTCCATATTGGCTTAGGCACTTGTCACTTTGTGTGATGAGTTTGAAAATTCCCTCCTGGTAAAAATCCTGTCCTTGCATTTTCAGCCAAGTTGTCACAAAGTGTTTCACTTCCTCGTCTGAAGCGAATCATCATCCTGCTAGGTTCTCCTTCAAGTGAGGAAACAGGTGAAAGTCACTTGGAGCAAGGTCCGGGCTGTAGGGAGGATGGTCGATGATGTCCCAGTGAAACTGCTTCAACAGTGTGGTGGTCTTCTGAGCTGTATGAGCCTTGCTCCAAGTGACTTTCATCTGTTTCCTCACATGAAGGAGAACCTAGCAGGATGACAATTTGCATAACAAAACCTCTAATAAAATCATTCCTTCCTTGACACTTCACTCATCCATCTCAACATCCTCATCTCCATCACCTCCATCTTTCTTTCTTGGGCTTTTGTTATTGCCCATGTCTCAGCTCCATATAACATTGCAGGTGTGAGAAGCCAGGGACATAGAACTAAGTTTATGCCGCTTATGGGCACACAATCTCAAGATTGGCTCACTAAACTTTTTCTAGGGGGCTGTTAATTTTTAAAAGGATCTGGACTATGAAGTCTAGATCTGTCAGGATCCTTGACACCAGTTAATCAAATTTAGATATGCAGATTAACACACGTTTTCGTTTGTGGAGAGAATATGTTTGATTCAGACACTTGAGACATTTCTTTAACAATAATAAAACAAAATTTAATAAGACAAAATAAACGAAGTCTATACAAAAATGGATTACTTATAATAAACGTTTAGAGAGAGAGAGCTCACAATTTCTATGATAATCATACTACCTCTAGATGATCTCTCTTTATCTTCACCTTTAGCTTCTTTATACTTCAATTCTTTAAGTTCTTATACTTCAGTTCTAGGGGAGTTCTTAAAATGGCACATAATTATATATTTTTCTTCTAATCTTACTAACTTAAACTCATTATTAAGGTCCGCTGGATACAAATATGGGCATTGGCCTTAGGAAGATGACATGGAATACATCTTCCTTCTATGGAATTTCGTGGCATACTCCTTGAATCGTACAAAATCATTTCTATTTCTCATGATTTTCATCCAATCAATTTTTTGGATTCTCTCACGTGTACAGAGGAAAAGGGGATTCATTGAGGGGTCGACAGTTCCCAGGGTGCTGAGATTTATGGTAGATAAGGGTAAAACAAAAGGATGTTTCAACTTCCGTTAAAGGAAGTGACTTTTTATCAATTTCCCACGTTTAGAAAAACACTATTTTCTCACTAAAATTAAAGAATATTTTTCAATAAAATTTTAACCTTTCAATTTAATTATGAATTAGTCACAGGGGCTATTTGGATCTCACACAGGTCTAACAACTGATTTATACAATTTTCCTTTCAGATTACAGCTAACTTTCTTGTTGCATAACACATTGCTCAGCTTCCTCTAGTTCATCTATCTACATTGAATTCTGTGCTGCATCTCAGAGTTCAATCCTCCTCCCATCTCAACAAATGTCCCAAGATATTTAAAACCTTGAACAAAAGGGAGTGGCACATTTTGGATTTTAATATTACACTCATCTCTACCATTCAGAGTCATATAAGCTATTTTAGTTCTGTTAATCTTCATGCCCCTTTCTTCCAAAACTTTCCTCCAATCTTCCAGTTTCTTCTCAGCCTTAGTTTGGGAAAGTTCACATAGCACAATATTATCCACAAACAGCAGCCTCACACTTCACGTCACACACCAACACGTCCATTATCAGGTCAAACAAATAAGGGCTAAGGGCCAATCCCTGATGCAAACCAACATTAATGAAGAACCCTTCTGTAGTTCCCACACTATGAACTTGGGTCTCTGCTCCTTCGTACATTTCCTTGATGAGCCTAACATATTTTTCTGGAACATTCTTTTCCCTCAAACTTCTCCATATCTCTTGCCTTGATATTTTTTCATATGCCTTTTCTAGATTTATGAACACCATGTGCAAATCTTCCTGCATTTCCCTGTGCCTTTCCATCAGCTGTTTTAGAGCAAAGATAGCATCAGTCATACTCCTTTTGGGCAAAAAGCCAAACCGTTCTTCCCCATTCTCAGATTCCTACCTAATCCTACTTTCTACAATTTTCTCCCAAATCTTCATAGTATGGGACAATATCTTTATACTTCCGTAATTTCTGCAATTCTGTACATCCCCTTTATCTTTAAAGATCAACACAAGAATTCTCTTCCTCCATTCATCTGGGATCTTCTGCTGTCAGAGTTTCTTCATAAGGTCCCAGAGGATATCAGTTCCGTCCTTACCCAAACCTCTCCGAGCCTCAGTTGTAATCCGATCAGTGCCTACTGTTTTCCCCATCTTCATTTTCCATTTCTTCTCTGCTAATATCTTGCACCACTCCTTCATTTGCCTCTCCATTCTCGTATAAAGTTCTGGGGTTTTCTTCATTCAATTAATTCCTAAAATATACTTTCCATCTTTCCTTGACCCTTACATAATCTTGTAATACCACTCCTTTATCATCTTTAATCAGTTTATTTAATAGAGGTAAAATCTTTTGATGCCTTATCTCTTGCTTTGACAATTCTCATCAACTGCCTTTCACCACCTTCCCTTTTGAAAACTTTATAAGCCTCTTCTAAAGCTTTTGCTTTTGCAATAGCCATCACCTTTTTAGTCATTTTATTTGCCAAATGGTAAGTTTCTTTATCTTCAGGCCTTCCCATCAAATCCCACCTTTTCTTTGCCTCTTTCTTTTGTTTAACTGTGGATTGTATCTTAGCATTCCACCACCAAAGTTCCTTTCCTTCTGGTAACCTCCTCCCTGAAGTTATTCCCACCAACTTTCAAAATGCAATTACTATTCAGCAACCATGTTTGCACATCATCCAAAAACTGGATTTCTTTTAACACTTTTACCTTAAACTCTTTCCTTAATTCCTCCTCTTTTAATCTCCACCATTTGATCCTATGTTCAATCTGGCTAACACAATTTTTACAATGGCCCATAAAAAAAGTCATAATCCACCAGGAGAACTCTTATGTTGTGCAGCAACACTTTCTCCATTTAACACCTTACTGTTTCTCACTTCTCTCAGATGTCTCCTGTGGCACAAGAAAAAATCAATCTGGCTGGATCTACCTCTACTCATGTATGTAACCAGTTGATTTACTTTCTTCTCAAAGTAGCTGTTAACTAGTACAAGTTAAAAGCCACAGCATGATCAACTAGTCTTTCTCCCTCTTCATTCCTTTCTCCCAAGAACTCTTCTTTTTGCATTCTTCCTCTTCCCAACCTGACTATTTAAATCACCCCCACAGATTAATCTCATTCATAGGAACTACATTATAACTTGGTTAAGATCTGTCCAAAAGTTTGTCTTTTCTTTTTCTCCATTATCTGGCTGAGGAGCATACACACACACAATCATAATGAAAATTCCACCAACATCTAACTTAATGCTCATAATTCTATCACACCTTTGTTTAACCTCACAGACATTGTCTTTTAGAACTTTATCAATTATGATACCAACTCCATTCCTTCCTCCCTTATTCGCTCCACTCACAAACAGCTTTGTACCCTTCTTCAAGTTTTTTAGCTGTATTTCCTTTCAATCTTGTCTCTTGCAGGCACAAAATGTTCGCTCTCCTTCTTTGCATAAGATCAACCAACTCTCTACTCTTCCCATTCAATGTTCCGATGTTTAAAGTACCTATTCTTATACTTCTCTTCTTCCTCTTCTCTTTCTTGACTAACTTCTTTATCTGAACCTGTCCTTGGTTTGATAGCCCCAGCTCATTTGACATAGTTTTTGGGTGACATGACTGTACAGTACATCACTTCGGGGGAATGTCCTAACACAATTATAACTTACTTGTAGTCTAATAGACATTCCATGTAGTTTTGGCATAAGTTTTACAGCCGATGCCCTTCCTGACACCAACCCTATTTATTATAAGGCTAAATATGTGTATATATAATTCATTTGTTCTAATATTAAAACCACAGAGGTTATCAAACTTTGTTCTGTCTGGATTGAACTGGATTGTTTTCTATAATTTCAAGATATTTTCCATTAATTCTTTTTATCTCAGTTATCTGTAGTTATCTTAGTTATCTTTGGCTGTAACCAAATTACTTTACTCACTTTTAAATGACCTCCTTTTTTCTTTAGTTCTTGTGGTTCAGTACAGAGACAGATTCTTAGGATTAGCACTGCCAGAAATCAGATTTTAAAATAGTATAGATTCTTAATCTTATTGAATACCTATTCAAGAGTCTAAGAATGTTGTACTGTACATATGTGGAATACGGTACAGCATGATGTATGTAAATTTCTTTTTCAAAATGTTAATTATAAAAAATATATAATTCTTTACGGCTTTATTAGGATTAATGTACACTATAACTTGAACATTTCCATAGAATTATCATCAAAGATTTTGAACTAAGCTTCATAAAAATTATTTAAATGTTAATGCCTTTTTATGGAGATATGATAATATTAATGTTACAAAAAATTCACGACTTTTTTTAAAATTAAAATTACTTAAAATTAAAATCAAATCAATTGAAAAGTAAAACAATGCTTTTAAAAACCATTTAAAAGTTGTTCTGAAATTTTCAAATTGCAAATCAAATTAATTTTTAAATTTGTTATCTGTGTGTGGCAGTGACAGAACCTTTTGCTTTTTATATATATACAGATAAAACTCATTAAAAATAATATAAAAACTAAAATAAAATCTGTATTCTGTATATAACCCCAAAGTTCATTATTCAAAAATCAAACTTAAATAATGGTTCCTACTGAAGCAAACAAATACCATTTCTTCAACTCCAAGTCTGAGTCAAAAGTGAAGTCTTTTTATGTCTCCTATCCCTACACAAAGAATTCCTTTCCTTTTGTTAACCCTTTCCACGAATTCATACTGAGTCCACAGAGGAAGTTAGTGAGTTGTCTTTTAGAGCAGTGGTGTGCAAACTATTTTCAATTCTGACCCCTGTTTCTGCCTTATTAGAAGTCTGAATAATTTTACGAAACAATGGTTTTATTTATGCATATGGGCATAAATATTTAGTTTATGAAAAGTACTTTTAAAAAACTTTACATCATAAGAATCCAATGTGAGGTATGCACTTGCAAAGAGCTCATGATTGCTTTTATGTTTGAATCTGTATTAGAAATCGCAAGCCCTAAATCATCCTCTGTCTGTATTGGGTACTAATATAAACAATTATTTTCATAAAAAATATAGTTATATTTTTATAAATAATATAATTTTATTTCACTATTTTACTGGTACCTGATACTTGTTGAAGAAAAGCCTTATATTTTTGTTGTCAAATAAATTTCTTTGAATTTGGTGACTTTGAAAAATTTTCTCACGACCCCTCTGGACCCATGGTTTGTGCACCACTATTTTAGAGGGGTGAATTGTAGAACCCATCTGTGAGTTGGTGTGACCTACTTATACACTACTTTTTTAAAGTGTTAGTTTCTGTTTTAGTGGTGACAGAACATTTTGCTTTTAATATATATACAAATTTTAACCATTGGTAAGTAAAAAAAGTTCATAAAGTATCCCTATGTATCCCTGATCCAATCTTTGCTTCTATGAAAGATAGCAGCATAGTATTAAATTACAAAGTTGTAGAGCATCTCAGAATTAGTACACATTTTATCCTCTTAAAATAATTAAAGGAAAAGTAGCTGGATGGCTGGACATTATAAAAAATATGGATGGGAGAACTGTTCCAGGCTTCTCTATGTGGCCTTGTGCACTCAAGTTCAGTCAGAGAAACCTTGACTTTTTCTTTTTTTTTTTTATAATGTTCAGTCAGAAAAAACAAATTGCTAGAATTACTTTAATTAAATGCTATTTAAGATACTGTATTGCAAGCAAGTAATTATTAAAACAATATTTAATGTTTATAACAGTGGTTGACTGATAACACAAAAAGAGAAGATAATCTGAAGATAATGATAACAATAACTGATTTTTTTAAAGTTTGGTTATTTGTTAATCAGTTTTATGCCAAACTATTGAAATTAATTTTGGCTAATTTAACTAAGCCAAAATTAATTTTTTATAAACTATATCAAATCTATATGGGGAAAAATTTAGAAATAATTTCACTTTTAAACTTCCAAGATAAATGTGGAAAACATGACTCTTCACTATCTTGATGTTAAACAAGAAAATATATATTAAAATCAAGTTAAAATTTTTTCTTTGGGCATAAGAAACATATGCATAGAAAAGAATAATTCTTAAAATATGGTGATAAAGAATAACTAATAGAAAATAAGCTTTTTACTTTATTAATTAATATAATCAAGTGTAAAATTTGTTCATACATGTATTCAGTTTCTTACAATAGATATGCAAGGTAATTTAATGATTGACATGAATAACATTTGGTTAATCTAAGATACATGTTATCAGCTTTTTAAACAAAACAAATTTTTGTATTTTCATTGTTTTGCAGACACAAGCCTTAATCTGTTTGTATAGGAAGCAAGATGTGCTTTAGACAGAATTGGTCCTGAAAGAAACAAATAATTGAAATTAATAACACATATTCTAGTTCATTTGTACCTTTATCACATAGTTCATTTATATTTGATATATACAGTAGAGCATCGATTATCCAACTCAATTGGGGACTCAGGTTGGTCGGATAACCGAAAACAATGAAAAAAATACATTATTACTATAGTATATTAGTATATCCCATGTAATTAGTATATTAGTATATCACTATTAACCAACTTTGCATTGAATTTTCATTGATGTTAAGCCTAACAAAATTCTTTTTAAATAATCGTCGCTATTGTATCTTTAAAAATTATTTTTAAATTATTTTATTGCTCACAAAACAAACAATCACTCATAATTAGAAAATTAAGTCTCGTTTAAATACTGGCCTCCCTTCAATGGTCCAGCTCAACCATTTGCCATCTAAACATGCAAAAATTTAACAAAAATAATATTAAAATAGCCAAGACATAGCCAAATATTGTAGTGCCACATCACTAGCGGACATTTGAAATTTGCCGACTAGAACGGTCGGTTAACCAAAGTGACGGTTAATTGGGGGTCGGATAATTGATGCTCTACTGTACAATTTAAAAAATTTAAGTGAATTAATTAAAAAGTTTGTTATTTTTAAGATAAAAAGTAATTTAATATATCTTAAAGTATATTTATATCTTGAATCTTCTCATTTTTGTTTACTAGTTTTTTAAATTGATAAAATGAGCTTTAATCCAAAAACTTCTATACAAACCTCTTTTCATGTGATAGCTAAAGCAGTTAACACATACAAATGGTTTACTTGGACAAACTGAACAGAATGTGGTGACTTTTTTTGAAGGTATAACATTAGGGATACCATGTTTTTTCAATGATTTTTCAATACAATGAATGCAGTATCTTCTAATCTTTTTATTTCGTATAGATTTTAGTTTTGTCACTTCAAGTTTATGTTTTATTTCTGTCTTTAATGAAAATTTCATGTTTTCATTTTCATCTCCTCCTTCAGAATCATTGAAGTGCAGTAATGATTTAACTAACTGTTCTCTAAATTGTCTAATTGTCATTGTTGAATGAACATTATTTTGTTTATAAATAATGAAAGCATTTACTACACATACACCAAAAAGTGTTTCCATTGCTACTCTATGATACCAACAGAGAGTTTTCCTCATAGGAGATGAATAATGTGACATTTGATCCATTTTATTTATTCCAGCTCTCCCTGCTTTATAATCAACAGTAAGCTTTGGCTTCTTGATTTCTTTATTTTTTCTTTCAGTTTTTATAAAATCTAAATTGTGATAGGTTGATAAAAACACTGCTTCTTTCTTGTTTTTCCATTTTGCAATTAAAACACCTTCATTGTCGATCATTCCAACAATTTGCCCTTGAGTAAGTTGAGAGTGAATAACTTTCTGAGGTAAATCTTTATTTGATGATTGCAAGGTTCCAAGTAAGTGTGTCTTTCTTTTTAATAAATCATGTGCTAGAGTTACTGAAGTGAAAAAACTGTTTGCAAATAATACTCTTTCTTCCTGTAAATAATTATCACATAGTTTCAAAACGATATGCTCATTATTTCTTTTTAAATTGTTTTTTAACTTATTGTCATATAACAACATATTATAAGTATAACCATCAGAACTACATAATTTAAAAATTTTAATCCCATATCTTTTCTGTTTCTTTGAAATGCATTGTGATATATGTAAATAGCCTTTACATGGTATTGTAATTGTATCTACAATCATTATAGAACCAGGTATTCTGATTTCTTTGAATTGTTGAACTAGCATATGAAAGAAATATCTCATTTTATAGCCAAAATCATTCTCGGGTTCATCATCGTCATTTGAAAAGTACCAAATTTTCAGTAAGAGTTCAAATCTGTTTCTTTTCATTGCATTTATGACTTCATTCTTGTAAATTGCACTGCGGCTCCAATAATTATCTATTCCAGGAAACTTAACTAGATCCATCCACAGTAAAAGACCAAAAAATGTTTCCATTTCCTCTTTGCAAGTAGGTTTCCACGCTGACATACGACTCATTTGACTAAATTGTACTTTAGAAATAATATGTTCTGCATGTTTATTTGTTTTCTCTACAATATAATTTAGAACATTATCAGTAAGGAAAAGTCTGAAATAATCTATTGGAGTCAGTCTGGAAGAAATAAGTATATTTATTTTTGGTTGTTTATCAAATTGAATGTTGGCTCTTTTAGTATTTGAAACATCATTCCATCTGATATCATTTTCTTCTTTCTCTGTTCTCTGCAGTTCTTCTGATTCATCAGAGTCATAATCATCATTGTAATCATAATATTTATCTTTTATGTAATTTTCAGATTCAGAACTTAAATCTGAATTTGTTTCATCTGAATCATAAGTTTTTCTTCTTTTTTGAGCTTGTTTAGAAAAACTTCTATTATTTTTTCTCTGTTGTATATTCATTGCTGCATTTGTCTGTAATACAAAATATATAAACTTTAAATCATAGAATAGTAGTTATTGTTTTATTAAATTTCTTATAATTATATCCAGCACATTATCAAATTTATCAGAAATTTATTGTAATAAACTATCAAATATTTTAAATGTATCTTTATTATCTTATTCATCCTGCCATTTTATATAAGATTTACCTAAATTTTTCTTATAATAGTTTATGTAAATATTATATTTGTTGAAGCTTAAAGTGTCAACAAAAATTAATGATAAAGATTGTTCTGTCTCTCTCATTCTTTCTTTCTTTACTCCATCCTGTAAGCAGTAAGAGAGTAGGTTCAGCCATGCCTACCACACCTACAATGGGATGGCTGGATGATGAGGGACAAGGGCTCATGAAAAATTTCTATGTAGATCAGTTCCAGGTTCCCAGAGTAGCACACTGAAGCCTTTCTCCTCCAATGCTGGAAGTTGACTATAATTTATTTTAATGGCTGAAACCTTTTGATAAAGCTATATAATATAACTCCCAAAAGCTGGAAGAGTTCAACAAATACACTAGACCAGTGTTTCTCAATCTCTAACGAATCGTTCAACGTAACAAGCCCCCTTCAACGTAGTATCGTCCCCTTCAATAATCATCTCGTTACCTATTATCGTCCCCTTCACTTCAAAATTCCGATGCCGAGGACCAAGACTAATGCCAAATTCATACTGCATTGAATAGACTAGTGACTAGCATAATGTTATTTGTTTAATTATTGTACGATATAATTAATAAAATATCTAATTATTCTTAATATAATATATCACCCAGAAAATTGTTTTTTGCCCCCAAAATATAAATTGTTACTAATCACCCCCTCAACATGGAAAAATGCCCACATGGGGGCGATATCGCCCCTGTTGAGAAACACTGCACTAGACACTTTTACATACTACTTCCAGCACTGATATTTAAAACTGTATAATTTAAGTATGAGCTACATTGTCAAAATTGTGGAAGAATAGTGTACAGTATATATTTAAAATATTTTTAGAAACTAGAAAGCAATATTTATAACTTTTGTACTTAAATTGTCTACAAGAACTTATTTATTTCTAGAACTTATTATACTGGTGACCTGGTTCTGCAAATTAAGAAAACAATTCAGAAAAAACAGTATTTTTCACCTGAACACGTTACACGATATCATTGGTTTCGGACCTGTTGGTCCATCATCAGCAGGTTTATGACCAAAAGCTTAGTTTTTTGGTTCATAAATACATCTTTAAATACATCAATATAAATAGCATAAATCTAATCATATTCCTCATCATTCTCATACTATCACTTGAACATTCAGAATGTTCAAATGTCACAATGATATCATGTAACATGTGTTCAGGTAAAAAATAAAGACTGTTTTTCTGAATTTGCAGAACCAGGTCACCGGTATAATAAGTCCTTGTAGACAATTTAAGTACAAAACTATATGATAAGGACACAAAGGCATAAAATTTAATATTTGTAACTATTTAAATTTGATGATTTTTCATCATTTTTGAATACAGTACAAGCTGTATATTTACAGGAGTTACATTCTGCAAAACTGTTGTAAATATGGAAAGTTAGATTTGAAAAGAAAAGAAAGAAAAAAAAAAATAATTTTCATGTTTGGAAGTTTTGCAACAGAAAATGGGCCTTCAGAATGAATTTAAACATACTCTAGTTAATCTTGAGTAGTATTTGCACTGAAATACAAACACTTTGCTTTTTGATAGATGATAAAACTACTACTGTAACATTTAAGACTTTTCATTTGTTAACGGTGGATGGTTTTAATTGTTCTGACAATCCTTGCAATTTTTAATATTGCAGATGCTGCTGCTTTTTTCAGTCTTTGTCTCTGATTTTCTTAATGTAAATTATGATTGACCCATTAGAATGGAAGAGAAATAGCTATAACTGTTGATTCTTTTTCTTGCCTAGCACTTTAATTTTATCTTTGAGGGACATCATTTTCTTTGGTCTTTTTGATGTTTTGCCATTTAAAGTATTTTTTATTTAACTGGCATTGCTGATTTATAACAATAACTAATTACGATATGCTTCTGAAACACAATGCTTTGCTATTCATATAAGTGTATATTTTAAAATAACTTGAGGAACTATGAAGTAATATGCACTAGCCAAATAATATCAATATAATAGTCAATACTTAGTTAAAGTCAAATTAAAATATTGTAGTGAAGATAGAATGCTTCAGAAATACTTAAAAGACACTAAATTAAGATTTATATTAAGATTGTTTTATGTTAATGTCAAAATAACAAATTTTTAATGAGTATAATAATAATTTTAAAATTCTTGCATTGATTATGAAACTGATTTTTGAGATTAAATGACAATTTTTATGTAACCATCTAATTTTATTTCTTTATAAAATTACTAATTCTTAAAATTTTCTTATAGGATGATAAGATATTTATATGGGATCTGCGTCTACCTAAACCAGCCACTCTTGTTGGTAAGTTTATATTTTTTTTATTAGTTTGTAACTTGTACATGAAAGAATAAAAGAATGAAATTTTGTGAAAAATAATCGGAAATTAATTTCTTATAAGGCAAGGATCCTCTTAAAGCAGTACCAACATGTGTTGCTTGGAAATTAGAATCTCCGACTCTCTTTGCTGCAGGTGATGAATTGGGACAAGTTATCCTAAAAGACATTCGAAAATGTGTAGGAAGTATATTATCAGAAACATTACATCAGAGACCAATTTTCAGATTGGTGTTTTCACCTAAATTGTAAGTTTTTTTAATATGTCTAACAATATTACAGTAAATTAAATTTTTATATAAATGATATTTTCAGTCCAAATTTACTTGCATCTTGTGCTGACGAAGAATATGTTGTTGTATCAGATGTTAGTGGAGAAAATTTAGAAATTATGTAAGTTATGTATTATAATATTTCACATTAAATTACATACATAATTATTAGCTATTTTCATAAATATTTATCTGTTTATTGCTAATTTCAGATATAAAGATGATTCACATTCAGATTTTGTAAGGGGATTATCTTGGCATCCAGAAAGTAATCAATTATATTCCTGCAGTTGGGGAAAAGAAGTATTTGGCCACAATTTTCAAACAAATGATATTGAAAGACAAGATGAAGCATCATGACCAAAGAATTTTTGGATATTTTAAACTATCAAACATGTTGTATAAATCACATTAATTGGAGTAAAGATGTTCTTTAAAATTAATTATCATTAGTTGTTTAATAGTAAAGTTATTTTTGACTTGATTTATAAATGTCTTGATGAATCTTTACGTGCTATATGATATTAGTTATTTATATTAAATCAAACAGTTAAAAAAATTAAAATGAAATACAGTGAAATATCAGATTAATAAGTAAAATTAATAATAAAATTACTTTCGAAACTATTGTTAAATTATTGATTATTATATATATTTCAAGTATTAAATGCTACAGAAAAAATAATATAAGATTAGAAAACATATATATATCCATACACACATACAATGTGATCCAAAAATTACTTATCTTTTCCAACTTTTACATCATAAGAATCATTCTGTATATGAATTGTGCCGAAATGAAATATTTACTGCTGCACTCCTAACATTATGGCATTTTGTTATACATGATTTGTACATAATTTGTAATCATTAGAAAACTCCAAAATATATCTTGGAACAATGGGTATTCTTTATTCAGGTATATCATCAATTGGGTTAAAGCTCATAATGTTGGAAGAGACTTAGATCAAGTTTAGAATCAAAGCAAATCAAATGAGGAATGCAACAGTAAATATTTTATTATATTATACAGAATGATATTTGTGATGTACGAGTTTTAAATTGGCAGGAAATAGATCACAAATATACATACAAAATATTGCATATTTTCTTTACTTATTTTAAGTCTTAAAATTATGTTAATGATAAAAAATTTCAGATTTTTACATACTCAAATGATATGGTGAGCAAATAAGCTAATTGTAACGATTATGATATTACAATATTTAATTTTATTTTAATTCAGTTTTGACATATAAAACATTTAAATGCAATATTGTCGAAACAAAATATTATATTAAAATAAGCCTTTTCACATTAATTGCAACTAAAAGTTATCTATTACCCACTGTCTAGTGTGTTAAACAATTAAGTATATTGACCTTTAGTTTTAGAATTTTTTTCCTCATTACTTATATTGAACTTTTATATTCAAATAAAAATTTATAAACCACACAAAAACAATGTAATAACAAAAAATATAAAAGTTTAGGAAATTTTAAATCCCACTTTACAAAATTTTGCAGCACATTGTCCAGTAATATTTCATAAAATTAAGATGTATTTGTTAAGAAAGCCATTAAAAACAAATCTAATTCAAATTAGTTTACTCAGAATGATGATTTTCTAGAATCCTCAAATGCTTGAAATTTCTAAAACATTTGGTCTGAGAAAAGTAGCTTTTAAAATATATGCAATAAAAATTAAAATATTGACTTATCTAGTTTATATTTCTTAACAGTTTTTATTAGATCCTTACAATGATTTTAGTTCATTCTTTGGTATTTAAATAACACTGTATAATTATATTTGGGGGAAAATTATATAAATACTACTACACCTAACTGGTTGGTTTTATTCATTTGCTTTTACTAATCTTTTTCTGTGGGTTTGTAGATCTAAACAAAGAAATTATAATGCAAAAAGTAATTTTAACAAAGTTGTTCATAAAATAAAACGCGATTGTTAATCTCCTCCCGCTAACTGTTGTGTATTTTCCATTACATATATATTTTATCAATCATCTGGACTATTGGCACGCCATCGGTTACATTGTTCTATCGATAATAATAATAAACACTACAAAAACGTCGGCCAATAAACGTTACCTTCACTTTTTCCTATTACGTCATCCGAGACAAAGCGGTAGTTTATGGCAATGGGAGACGCTCTACCCTATTTTGACAGGCGTGACAATTGCAACCAATACTGTTGCTGTTGTGCAGTGACATCTGTACGAGACGCCATATTGTATCGGATAGCATAATTCTAAAACCTGCTGGCTTGTTTTTCTATGGGCGGAGCTTAAAAGTTCGTCCGGGTGTCGATAGATGGTAGTGGATGTAATAGTGTTACTTAATCGTCCATTAGTGTTTGCGTGAAATATTTCATTAATAATTTTCTAAACTTAACTTACATTAACTTTGTATTCTTTCATGTTTAAATTAACAGTTTAAAAATACTGTAGTTTTAATTTTTAAATATGGGGATGTCCATAAATTATGTCGGCATTTTTCTTGAAATTTTTACTCCTCTCTCCACATTGTCCAAGTTTCCGTAACACCCCCCCCCCCGTCTTCGGACGTCCAACAATGTTCAACCCCCGTTAAAACCTATAACACTTTATGAATAATAAAATGCATAAACTGTATAAAATTTAATGAAATAAAACGGCTTCCCTCCCCTTACCCGATTTTGTCTGACTTATAACCTCCCCCCTTCAAGTATGGACGTCATTTATGGATATTCCATATGCAGTTAATTTATGCATGTTTATTTATTCATCTAGAAATTATATCAAATTACATGATAATCCGACAGGTATGGGACCAAAGGTGTGTCAGATTACCAAAAGTGTCCGGATTACCGAAAATAATTACATATTTCGCATTGTTTTGCTAGCAGTAANCCTCTGTCTGTATTGGGTACTAATATAAACAATTATTTTCATAAAAAATATAGTTATATTTTTATAAATAATATAATTTTATTTCACTATTTTACTGGTACCTGATACTTGTTGAAGAAAAGCCTTATATTTTTGTTGTCAAATAAATTTCTTTGAATTTGGTGACTTTGAAAAATTTTCTCACGACCCCTCTGGACCCATGGTTTGTGCACCACTATTTTAGAGGGGTGAATTGTAGAACCCATCTGTGAGTTGGTGTGACCTACTTATACACTACTTTTTTAAAGTGTTAGTTTCTGTTTTAGTGGTGACAGAACATTTTGCTTTTAATATATATACAAATTTTAACCATTGGTAAGTAAAAAAAGTTCATAAAGTATCCCTATGTATCCCTGATCCAATCTTTGCTTCTATGAAAGATAGCAGCATAGTATTAAATTACAAAGTTGTAGAGCATCTCAGAATTAGTACACATTTTATCCTCTTAAAATAATTAAAGGAAAAGTAGCTGGATGGCTGGACATTATAAAAAATATGGATGGGAGAACTGTTCCAGGCTTCTCTATGTGGCCTTGTGCACTCAAGTTCAGTCAGAGAAACCTTGACTTTTTCTTTTTTTTTTTTATAATGTTCAGTCAGAAAAAACAAATTGCTAGAATTACTTTAATTAAATGCTATTTAAGATACTGTATTGCAAGCAAGTAATTATTAAAACAATATTTAATGTTTATAACAGTGGTTGACTGATAACACAAAAAGAGAAGATAATCTGAAGATAATGATAACAATAACTGATTTTTTTAAAGTTTGGTTATTTGTTAATCAGTTTTATGCCAAACTATTGAAATTAATTTTGGCTAATTTAACTAAGCCAAAATTAATTTTTTATAAACTATATCAAATCTATATGGGGAAAAATTTAGAAATAATTTCACTTTTAAACTTCCAAGATAAATGTGGAAAACATGACTCTTCACTATCTTGATGTTAAACAAGAAAATATATATTAAAATCAAGTTAAAATTTTTTCTTTGGGCATAAGAAACATATGCATAGAAAAGAATAATTCTTAAAATATGGTGATAAAGAATAACTAATAGAAAATAAGCTTTTTACTTTATTAATTAATATAATCAAGTGTAAAATTTGTTCATACATGTATTCAGTTTCTTACAATAGATATGCAAGGTAATTTAATGATTGACATGAATAACATTTGGTTAATCTAAGATACATGTTATCAGCTTTTTAAACAAAACAAATTTTTGTATTTTCATTGTTTTGCAGACACAAGTCTTAATCTGTTTGTATAGGAAGCAAGATGTGCTTTAGACAGAATTGGTCCTGAAAGAAACAAATAATTGAAATTAATAACACATATTCTAGTTCATTTGTACCTTTATCACATAGTTCATTTATATTTGATATATACAGTAGAGCATCGATTATCCAACTCAATTGGGGACTCAGGTTGGTCGGATAACCGAAAACAATGAAAAAAATACATTATTACTATAGTATATTAGTATATCCCATGTAATTAGTATATTAGTATATCACTATTAACCAACTTTGCATTGAATTTTCATTGATGTTAAGCCTAACAAAATTCTTTTTAAATAATCGTCGCTATTGTATCTTTAAAAATTATTTTTAAATTATTTTATTGCTCACAAAACAAACAATCACTCATAATTAGAAAATTAAGTCTCGTTTAAATACTGGCCTCCCTTCAATGGTCCAGCTCAACCATTTGCTATCTAAACATGCAAAAATTTAACAAAAATAATATTAAAGTAGCCAAGACATAGCCAAATATTGTAGTGCCACATCACTAGCGGACATTTGAAATTTGCCGACTAGAACGGTCGGTTAACC